AATTTAAATGTTTGATAATTAATTTAACCAATTAAATTAATTAGTAGTGTCTTGGACTATCCAAGCCCATTACTGTGATCCATGCGCCCTCCACCCTCAAGGTGGACTTCCAAACTACTTCTTGGACTAATGACCATTATTAGGCCCAATACCTTTAATGCTAGTTCATCTAGACAATTAGGTGTTAGCGTGTGACCCATTAGGTCCAACATAGCCACTGACATAAATGGGTTTGGGCCCAATAAGCCCACAACCCATCTAATGACAACACAGAGCACTAACAATGCTTTGTTGCCCCAGAACTAGTTAGATTAATGACTTGATCATCCTATTACACATATTTGGTTGCCGTATGTATTTCCTTTCGTCTCAGTTACCTTCCCATAAAACCTAGGGTAAGGAAACGTATCAACCCTTGCAGTTTAGGGTAAGCTTTATTCGAAATAGGGAATCTTCAATTTACTGACTCTAAAGGCAGATCATCTCATGATCTCTTTTACTATGCATAGATTCCTAAGTCCCTGTAAATGTCATCCCGATTTCTCTGGTTTACAGATAACCTAATCTCTCACAGAGATTTGACGAATTCCTTCAGCTTATCACCCTAGCCCTGTGCTTTTTCAGGACAAGCCCAACAGCATACCTATGAGTCTCCATGTTTCAGGCAGACGAGGTATACAGTCAAAGCATGTCTTCTAGAACACAGTTTAGGTAATAACTTCTGGTATAAGGAAAGACATACCCAAATATAAAGAGACTACTCTAATGATACTCTCTGTGAGATTTCCTCAGAGAGTCTCTTTTGTGGGTCTGTTCAGTGCGAGCTATACCCTTATAGGTCCACCCACGACTTTAGCTAAGACATCTTCATATTTGTAGCTCATGAGGTCTTTACCTTGCATCCGAATACAAGTAGATAAGTCGTGCTAGTCTTACCCGAGATCACTGATCCCCATTCTCAGTGTCTCTAGACTAGGAACATAAAATTAGGAATAAACATCCACTATCCTTGAATCCTCATGATCGTGATCTCATCACATATACTCAAGAGATACCTATTTTATTCCAAGGGATTTATCCAGTTACTCATGTATAATATTAACAGTAATATCGAGTCAAAATATGAAACAGGATAAAGAATGCTTTTATTTATTTGCGACAATACAAAGTCCACTCATGTCCTAATCTAATCAAAAGATTGTCTCTAGGACATCCATATACTAACACAAGGTTCCTGTGAAGATCTTCCCCAAAGACTTCAAAGGACGACAATTTCATTTCAAACCACATTCTCCAACTAAATCCCAAAATTTTTATGAGTTTATTCTACTCGATTCAAACTCTATTTCCATCAAACACTATAAGAGTCCAAAAGACCCTGAGTTTATTACTCATTCAACCATCCAGATTCTCAAGGTAATCACTCCAGCAGAATATGGAAATCCAAATAAAATAACCAAATTTTCCCAGCCTTATGATCCAATTGGATATAATTATTGGGACTATGAATTAGCCTGGACCAATGTCTTCTTCATGCAAAATAAAGAAAACAAACATTCATGGTTAATTTACTTTAAGCAAAATATCCAATATAATTTCCCGCAATGGTTTAATAAATGGTGGGATTATTTTGGACCAATCCTTGATATCCTTCCTCCACAAGTCTTTGAAGGAATGACAATCTTTTCCAAAAAATTCGAAAATCTAGCAGATCCCTTTCCAATAAATCTGCATTTTTTCTCAAAGTTCTCTCTGGCATGGATATTTTCATGGCAGTACAATTACGGTGAGAAAACAGGCATCAGACTACCATTACTCAGCAGACAAGCTTTTGTTAAATGGTGGATAGAATTTGATGCTTCAAGAGCTTACCCAGAAAATGTCAAGCTCTGGTTTAAAAAACATCCAAAAAACATCAAGCCAGCTGATCCAGAAACCTCCCTTTTCTTGAATCAAAAGGCTCAAATCACGGCAGCATTAGCAGCATCAACCAGCAAAGGAAATTTTGCAAAGAATCTGCAAGGTATTCTTCAATTACTCCAAGAAGAAGCTGAAAGCTCTAAACAGAAGACAGGTTCTTCATCTCCATCTATCTCTTCTTCAGCAGAAGACTTCTACCAAAATGAGGATGATTGTTTTGGAATCAACTTAGCAGAAGACTGTTGAAGTAAACCACTGTAGTGACGCTGATGGCAAAATGACATAAGCATGATGTCAGCAGAAGGTGACGCATACAGTGACGTAATCAAAGTGTCGGCAGAAACTGTAGCATCACAAGTCAGTTACTGTTCACTTAACCTACACTGTTGAAATAGTACCGGTCATGTAACTTGTACTGTAGCAATAATGATTTTTCAATCTATTCAAAGGGTTGCTTCAGTATGTTGAAGGCATCCTTTCATTTGCTGAGTTTTAGAGAGATAGTCTAGAGAGAGAGACTGCGAGGTACTTCTGAGTTTTCTCTTCTTCTTTGTTTTCTCTTTAATCATTCAATCTGTAACTGTATTCTCAATCTTTATGTTTTGAATAAAAGTTTTATTTAATATCTGCTTATGTAATGAACTCTTCTCTTCTCCATTCTTCCATCCAAGTTTGACTTCGGCCTACCGTATACAGCTTGGGTTCTCACCTTAAATTTATTTATGCTTTTAAATTCTGCATTTTAATTAACTATTAATATTCATATAGTAGTCTGTCTACTTTCCTGCTTTCCATTTCTGCTCTAGTTTACTTCATTTCCCTCCTCACACTTCCGGAACCCACTATATATATATATATATATATATATATATATATATATAACCTTAATTATCAGGTCATGAAACCTTTCACTTACAATATTTCACCATTTTAATCTAGACGTCTTAATCTTTCCAACGACTAGACACTTTAATTTCCAACATCTTAACTTATAATAGTATACACTTTAATTCTTTGGAAACGTTTCTCTGTCTAGTTTATTCTCCAATTTTTATAAGAAATACTAGACATCTAAGACTTTAATTTGACATCATATTTTCTCGTTTCTTTTAGGAACAAAGGAGTTATGAATTTTATAAATTCCAAGCAACATGCTGCCAACATAAGGCAGTTTCAGGTACTATTTACTCGTACTAATTATGAGAAAGATCTAGCACTCATTAAATTCCCATCTTTTGAGACAAAAAATTAGACACCTTCAACTTTAATTTGATACCTCATAAACTTCATTTCATGAAGAAATGAGTGAGATATGCCCTTTTCAATTTGGGCTCAAATGTAAACATAATTTTTAATAGCTTGTACATCCTTTACTCTTTTATTCACAAAAATTCCAATTCAAATCAGTTTGCTATGAATTTTTAATATATTGTATTAGACTTATGTACCTTTAATTTGGTATAAATCATGCTCAATTTGGAGGCCTACAACTCCAGTTATAAATTTTACAAACAGAGGTCAGATTGCACTCCATTAGGGTTTCTCACTTTCTAATCAACTTAACTAACTCCAATCAATTTTTCTTTTAAACCAATCACCATTATAACTCTTTGAAATCCTAGTTTCACTTATATATTTCATCAATTACATGGTGTGCATAAATTTACCTCTCTTGACCGATTTGCTCACTTTGAAAAACATCAAACCCTTGTGTTTGTTTTAAGCTTAACTAAGCATAGTTTTACTCAAAACCAACAAATTAACAAGCGCCAAGAGACATTAAATCACTTAAAATAACATCATAGGATACATAACCCTAATCAATTATAAACAACTTCATACATCCATTTTAAACCATCAAAATTTAGGTGTATTACCTTGTATAATTTTCTAAACAACTTTCCTACACTTTCCAAGCTTCAAAACCTTGAATACACTTGATTTTACACACTGCATGAATAGTGATAGCCACCTTTAATGGAGAATATCTCAATATACAATGCTCTATAACGTGAATGGATAGGGGGTTTTGATCACAAGATCAAGAACTATAATTTTTGTGTTGAAAGTTTGGTGTAAAAGTGATTAAATCTCCACCTACAAGTTTGCCCTTTCTCGTGTGGTGTCCACGGCTTCAAGAGAAAAAGGAGAAGAAAGAAAGAGTTTAGATTTTGTCCTTAGAAGAAAAAAAGAACCGACTTTGCACTTAGATAGTTACTAAGTGTTTTAACTTTGCAAGCTATCTTCTCATTGGTTGATTTTCTATGCACTTTATCTTGTCATCTTTTAATACCACATTCTAGAACACTTTGATCTCTTCTACACTAAGGAAGGAAGCATGGGAAAGGAAGACATAAGGCTGATTTCTTAATGAAATTTCACTAAGTTACATGCTCACTTTGCATGCCATCCTTTAAATTTCAAACTTGTATCTTATCGGTTAATTCTTCCTAAGTCTTTTTCTACCTTAATTCTTATTGGCTTATAAGTTATTCAACTATGACTAAGCATTTGAATTGCTTTTTGACTTGCCAATTTTGTTCCCATTGGTCTATATTTTAAAGACTTTTCAAACAGCAACCTAATTGGTCCACTTGATCATACTTTGGCCAACACACTTTTCTATTGGCTAATATTTAACCAAACTTTGACTTAATTTTAGAAATTAATATAGACATCATCTAATTAAATTAAAAGTACCGTATACCCATGAAATTAATCAAACAATTTAATTAGATCATCTAATTCAAGAATTAACCTAGTTTTACTTATTTGCAAACTAGTCCCTGTACTTTGACATAATTATACTTTACTTAGGATCCTATTTGACATGTCTAGCATGAACCGTATTCTTTACTTAATTATCATGTAATTTACATGATTTACCTCTCACTGTTTCCTTAAACAAGTGTTTAATTCACTTAAATACATAATTAATTAACTGTCACCTACTTTGACAGTGAGGGTTGTTATAGAACCACTTTTTACATGTGGCAGAGTTGTCACGTGTAAAAAGCATCCCAAATAAAGGTAAATGTAAAGTCTAGCTCACAGAACAGTACTGCGAGTACTGCAGACCCCTAGCTGTATGTATGGGTATCCTCAAAGCCCCCATCTAATAATTGAATGTATCGACAAGCGACTACTGAACTTGACTTGTCACACATAAAAAAACCTCCAAAGAGACACATAAGATAGGCACGAGTGTACCCAATTTGTCCCTCGTGAGTAGCTGAATGCTCGACCCAATGAGCCCAATGATGAGTCAACCAATTCATCTTAAGGTTCCCTCCATCCAAATCGTCTGCGAATGGAGATAGTCTCATGTACTGCTGAATTACGTCCTCCCAGTTCCCATGGGTATAGCTGAAAACAACCCGACCCTCAGTGGCTAAACCCAGAATGGCCTCAACATCTTGTAAATTGACAATCATCTCTCCAATAGGCATGTGGAAAGTGTGAGTCTCCGGCCTCCACCTCTCTACCAGTACAGTAATCAGCCTGTGGTCAATCTGCCAACAATCAAATAAGTAAAAAAATATAAAGGCCCTTATTATTGCTAACATGTAAAAAAAAGGATAAATTCATAACTGAAACATACCGGTAATCGTCTCACTCTCATAGACTTTAAATGTCTGTCGTTCCACACGACATGGGATCTGTGAGATTGCTGCACATCTTGATCCAGTACACCCCACTCTTTCGAACTGGGGTCAATGCACAGTCCATGACTAGCCATTTAACTAACAACAATTTACAAAATTTATAAAAAATATAGCGACTACATAATTAAACTACTAATTACAATTACTATTTAATCAAATTTTGCTGCAAATGTAATTAAAACAACATATAGTAAATAATTATAAGACTATTTATTACTGTGTTATAAAGTATCATTATTATTTAATTAATTTACTAAATATACAGTAATTAAATTTAATGTTTGTAAATTTTCATTATTACTATCTTATTTTTCTAAACAGGTCACTATGGCATTGTTAAACCAAATTTTATTACTACTAATTAAAACAATAATTACTATCACTACATAATAATTACATTAATTATTTTGTCCTAAAGCATTTTTTGTTATTAATTATTAAACTATGATCAAAATAGTTTTTTATGCCTAGGATTTCATAACATTGTATTGTTAATAAATTATTTTGTATAAAAGATTTAATAGAATGATTAATATTTAACTAAATCAATAAATTATAATGACTATTTAATTAGTTAGTTAATAATTATTAATTTAACTTAATATGTTTTTTCTTAGGTTTTATTTATTAACATGAAATCTGTAATTATATAATAATTAAAACAATTATCACGATTTAAATAATTAATAATTTTAATTATTATAAAAATATTAAATCAAAATTACTATTTAAGATTAATGTTTATAATTTTAAATATTAAAAACTTATTTTTCTAACAGAGTTTTTAAGGCATTGTAAATTTAAATATGATTACTATTAATTAAAACACTAATTAAAATTACTATATAATTATTACAACAATTATTGTTTACCAAAAGGCAAATTAGATTGATTATTAATTATTTTACGAAAATATTTTTGATGCCTAAGGTTTTCAAAAATATTTTTATTATTTAAGTATATTTGAAAAGGGATTTAATAACATGATTAACATTTAATTATGACACTAATGAAGGCTTTTTGACCCTTTTGTCTCTCATTAATTAATTAATAACCATTTTGTCCCTTATCCAGAACTATCTACCAATTTGCCTCTATTTAATCGATTAACTTAATTATTTAATCGGTTAAATGATTAAAATAGACAAAAATGATTGACTCGAGATTTAATCGATCAAATCTCCCTTTTTAATCGATTATCTTCTTCCCAATCTTCTTCCATCTTCCAAAGGGTCTAGGTAGTGACTTTTCTGATTCCCCCCTCCTCTCTCTTTTCTAGAATTTTCAGAAACTCGGTGGTTGTCCCCTCTGGTTTCTGTTTATTATCACTAAGAAAATTTTGTTGCTTTTTATGATACTTTGCAAAGTTTCTTTTTTTATAGTCTGTGGTCGTTTCTACTTTATTTATTCCTTTCTGGGTCGTTGGTTTTCTCTTTTTTAATGCTTTTTCTTTTTAAAAATTGGGCATGTTTGTAACTGCTTACTCTCTTAACAGCTTTCAGTTTTTTTTTTTTTTTTTTTTTTTTTTTAAACAGCTTTCAGTTTCAATGTTCATGCTTTGAGCACATCAATCTGGTCAAGCTTATAACAGAATCTTTCAACAAGTTGCTTTCCATTTGTAAGGTGCAGATCTAAGTTTCTCATGCTTAATTGGCTAATGTTTTCACATTCTATTGGTGGTGCACTGGTATCAAACAATTGATATGTTATGGATACTTTTCATTATGATATTGACCCTTCAGCCATGCACTTTCACTACCTAGACCCTTTGGAAGATTGAAGAATATCTGGGAAGGGAAGAAAATTTAATCGATTAAATCTCGAGTCAACTATTTTTGTTTATTTTGACCATTTAATCGATTAAATATTTAAGTTAATCGATTAAAGATGGGCAGATTGGTAGATAGTTCTAGATCAGGGGCAAAATAATTATAAATTAATTAATGAGGGGCAAAACAGTCAAAAAGGCCCACTAATGATTATTATGTTAATATATGCAGGTTTTTTCTCAGTGTGTCTATTTATTATGATCAAATCATTAATTACAAAATAATTAAAATAGTTATTACGATTTTATTTATTACCACTTATGAAAACCATAAATTAATAAATATTTAATTATAACACTAATAGTAATTACTATTTAATTATTTAATTTATAATTAATGATTATTTATTTAACTTAACAGGTTTTTTCTTAGGTTGTTAATTATTATGACTAATTCAATAATTACTTGTATAAAAAAATCGTTAATTACAAAATAATTAACACAGTGATTAGCTTTTTTATATTTATCACTTCTAAAATCCGAAAATATATTAAAACAAATTTACTAATTATTGAATTTGCTTAATATTATTAATTAATCCACTAATTATAATTATTAGGATTTTTTGTAATAGCATGTCTACTGCATTCACTAATTACAATACAAGATTCACCGATTACAAAACACATGCAAAGAAAATGAATCATGCAACACCAAACTTGTCGTGGGTGACTACAAAAAAATCCAGATACATCCGAAAATAATGCAATACCACACCAGACAAACAACAACATAACCCTAAAAAATAATACCCTACACAGATACAAAATTAGGGGTACAAAAAATACATCCAATAGGTAAAATGATCCAACACCATACCTGTGGTGGGTGACTAAACGGAGAGGAGGAAAGATGGGAACGCAAACACTTTGATCTGGTGGGTGAAAAAATTAGCCCCAAATATTATTTGCTCCGGCGTTGGGTGACTGCAAAGGTGCAAACGAACTGGAGAAGGAAAGATGTCCACGCGAAAAATTTGCTTAACACCAGTGAGAACTGACGTACGAACATAGAAGAAATGAGAGACAGAAGTGAGAAGAAGAGAGAACGCGAAGGAGAAAGAGGCAGAAGTAAGAAGAAATGAGAAGGAGTAAGAAGGGAAATCAACGACTCTATTGAATGCCGGCAACAAGTGTCACGAGACACAAGCCACATGTGTGTCATTCTCGTCACGTTGCATGGCGGGTTTAGGGCTGACTGGATCGTGTCACGAATTGTGACAGAACATGTGTATGACTCGTCAATTGTAATGACGCGATTGGAGAAGAATCCTATGTGGCATCCAGTCACGTCTTGGTTTGTGACGAGATTGATCTCGTCAGTCAAACTAACGTGTTTGACTGCTCTACTTTGGGCAAACTTTCCAAATGTATCTTCGTTTGGAGATACATTTAAAAATTAAACGTAATGCGGTCGTTTTGCCCACTAAAAGACTAAGATCACCACAAGAGCTCCAACATACAATGATTTTTCCGACAACTAAGGGTGTGCATGACAACCTTTCCGGAATCAAATTTTTTTTTTTTTAATTTCTGCTCCGGGGAACAGAAATGGATAGAAAACTCGTTTGGTAAAATCAATTTATTTTTTTGTTCTCGGGATGAACCGATTTATTTTTTGTACCGGGAAATAGAAAAAAGAATAAAAAAATTTCTGCTTTTTTGTTCTTGGGAACAAAATGAGAAACACTTATCTCTCTCAATTACTTTCCACCACTACCATCATCACCATCATCCCGACACGACCACCGCTACCATCGTTGTACCACCACCACCGCCTCCACGTCACCACCACCGTCATTAGCACCACCACCACCATCACTACTGTTATCGTCACCACCATTATCACTACCACTGTCACCAACTATCACCACCAGCATCATCGTAGCCACTACCATCATCACCACCACGCCACCACTACTATAACCAGCGTTGCTGCTGCCGCCACCATTACCACCACCATCACTACTGTCACCGTCACCACCATTATCACTACTATCAGTGTCACCACCATTATCACTACCACCGTCACCAACCACCACCACCAGCATCATCGTAGCCACTACCATCACCACCACCACGCCACCACTACTACCACCATTGCTGCTGCCACTACCACCATTGCCACCATGTCATCTCCATCACCATCGTCGTAGACACTGCTGTCACCACCACCACCACCACTACCATTGCCGCCATCGCCACCACCATTACCACCACTACCGCCGCCACTACTATCATTATCATGCCACTGCCACCGCCACCACCACTACACCACCGCCACTGCCATCACCATGTCATCATCATGACCATCGTCGCAGTCACTGTCGTCACCACCACCACCACCACTACCGCCGCCACTGTCACTATGCCACCATTACCATCGATGTTGCTGCCACCACTACCATTATCACGCCACCGCCACCGCCACCACCACTACACCATCGCTACCGCTACCACCACCATATCATCACCATCACCACCATTACTGCCACCACCACCACCACCATGCCACCACCATTATCACCACCATCGCTGCGGCCACTGCTGTCACGACCACCACCTCTACGTCACCGCCACCATCACCATCACCGTCACCATCATATCACTACCATCACCGCCACCATACCACTACCACCACCATGTAACTATAACCACCACCGCTGCTGTCATCATTACCGCCGTCGTCGCCACTACCATGTCATCCCCATTATTGCCACTGTCGCCGTCACCACTATTACCACCACCGCTACCGCCACCACCATCACAACGCGACAACTACCACCACCGCCGCCACCACCACCACCACCACACCATATGAAAAAAGAAGTGATGTTCCAAAAAAAATTTATGCTTAATAGGAATGATTTTTTATTTTATTATTTATTATGTTATCAAACACAATTCCCATTCTCGGAATAAAAATAAAACATGTTATCAAACACATTTTTTTCTTCAGAAATTGTTCCAAGGCATAGAAAAAGAAAAGAATTATTTCTTTTCAGAAACAGTGTCTGGAAACAAAATGATTGCCATGCACACCTTAAATGCAAATTGGTGAAAATTCTGGCATCCATCTCCTCCAAAAAATAATGAGATAACATAAGATAGAATAAGCTCTTACAAGAAAAGATATGTAAGATTCAGCTTGTGTAAATTTTGATAAACATAATTGATGACATCTCTGATTTCACATCAATCATTAAAACAGAGAAAACAAATATTATAAAGAAATATGCTTAAAAA